GTAAAAAGTGACAATTATTTAAACCGATCCGAAAGTTCCCGATGTAGGCAGTGAATGGATACAAAATACAAGTGTGGTTTTATTATTAAAAAGTGAAAGAAATTTCGAACGAATAATAAGTGTTTATGTAACATAACAAGACATAGTAGTGTAGTTTTATATCCCTGGAGGTAAAATAAATATATATAAAGCTGCTAGCCAGCAATATAATATAGTGGTGCACCTGATGGCGCGCCATGCACCAGAGAATTTCGTTAACACACCAGTGGTGAACCACTGGAGTTATAACTGCACCAGCAATCCTAGCTAAATCTCAAAAACATACTAAGTAATTAAAGTTAGGGATTCTAAGTAAAAATGATCAAAACCCTATGCGTAACAAAAATTTGGACCTCTATATGAAAATTTTATTATGTTATATAAACCTCTATTTCATTTTAAAATTGCACCCTAACTCTAAAAAATTAGACATCACCACCGGTTAAAATTAGTTATTTTCTAAAATAATTATCAATAATTTTAAATACTTTGAGGAAAATTAAATAAATTATCTGGATCAAACTTTTTTTTCACAGAGACTAACTTTGGAAAATTTGAACCATAATATCTATGTTGCCAATCATCTAAATCCCTATCAATATAATTTTGATAACTACTATTACTAGTAAATGATTTTTGAAAATTAACACCAAAATTATTAATTTGATCAACACATTTCTTGTTTGTAGTTGAATCACCTTTCAATGTCATAACTAATTGAATTCCGTATAATATATCTCTATGTACAAATGCGGTTTCATCTGCGGCAAATCTATTCATTGCACCACCAAATAGATCAAATAACGCATAGGCTGGACAATCTTCAGATAATTGTGAAATAAATTTTTTAATTGATTGAATACCTTTAGATGAAAGACCAGGTGGTTTTACAAGGAATGATTTAGCTTTAAATTTATTGGGGCTATGAATTGGATTTATCGTTTTATCAACCGATTCAAAACCCCATCTTACAACACTTTCGAAAAATGATTCTTGATTAAATTCTTTTGAAGTTGGTTTTGATAATGAAATAAAATTTTTCATAGCATTTCGTGCATTATCTTCCGTTCCTTGATAAACTCCTTGAATTTCTAAAGTTGATGAATCCAACAACACATCAAATGTTATATCATCTGGTAATGTGAGACCAAGTTCATTAATTGTATCGAAAACTGTTTGAATTTTAGAGATGTCGTATTCGAATTTAATGGATGTGACTTTAGGAGGAGTAGGATGAAGGTTAAAAGTAAATGATGTTACGATTCCATAATTATTACCACCAGCACCACGAAGGGCAAAGAATAAATCTTCATTTTGATTTGCGTTTGCCGTAATTAGTAATCCATTAGCATTAACTATATCAATAGATTCAATATTATCTGAAGCGGTTCCATATTTCCTTGCAAATAACCCTATTCCCTATAAAAGAAAAAAATTGATTCAATTGCTATTATAAACAATGATGATAATAATAAATAATAAAATAAAAAGATACTTACACCACCTAAAGCGTGCCCAGTTATACCAACACTTGGACAAGATCCGGCCGGAATAAAAAATCCAGCTTGGCTTAAATTGTAATAAATAGGTCCTAACCTATTTCCTGCGCCTATGACTGCAGTCTTTGCCTCATCATTGATTTTAATTTGATTTAATTTTGTGACATCCACAACCACATTACCAAAAGTACCATATTTTTCATAGGAATGACCTCCTGATCTGGCAGTGATAGTTAGGTTTAGAGAATTTGCACAATTAACTGTATTTTTCACGTCGTCTATGTCAATTGCGTATACAATCGCTTCAGGATGAAAAGTTACACGAGTGTTTTCATCCGTAATATCTTGTGTATACATTGGGTCATTAGGATATACAATTTGACCTTTTATGGAACACGATTCGAGAATATTGCCATCGTTAGATTTTTTAAGTGGTGCAGTTTTAACAATTAGAATTAAAAAAGATAATAAACAAAAACGTAAAAAAACTTGTTTGAAAATTGTTTCTGAAATCATTTTTTATTATGATTTTTTTTTTTTTTTTTTTAAAAAGCTAACACTAATAAAACTCTATTGTGGCAAATATAAATAATAATAATAAATATTTAATACAATTGAAGAATTAA